GCTGAACAGTCAGAAGACCTCCAAACCAGGCTTCACTGACATCATAGACTTGGATTTGGGGCAAATCATGCTGAGAAGAAATCTGTTGCTGGGAGGAACCAAAGGAGAACCTGGAACTACCAATCCTCAGAGAAGGAACTTGAATTTCAGGGAACACAGAGCTGCAGTGGTGGAGGGCTGCTTAACAAGTTTCGGTGAGCAGTGGAGGGCCACAAGAGTAGCCCCACCCCTTGACAGGTGCCCTGCTCTCTGGTCACCAGCTTAGGACCAGAAGTTTTGCCCCTAACTCCTGACCTTTGCCACCAGAAGTCCTGCGCCTTGCCCTTAGAAGTACTCCTTTTCGGAAGGGCGGTTGCCATCTTGGAACCGGAAAAAACCCAAATTATATACTAAAAATGAAACATCTACAATAGAATATTTTAATTTTATTTCAAAAAATATTTTTGGCCTGATCTGTATGTGTTTGCATTGTGTATATAGAGGTGATTGCATAATAGCTCAAAACAAAGTCTTACTCTTGTATATCGGGGGGGGTGGATGGATATGGGTGGGTGTATGTGTGTGTAGGGGGGGATGGGGCATGCATGGATGTGTGTGTGGGGATGTGTGGAGTGTGGGGGGTATGTTTGTGGGTTGTGTGGGTGTATGAGCCCCTTGGCAGCGCATGGTCCCGCCGAGCCCCAGGACTGCATGTGGCCAGGTTGCCTGCTCCATTGTGCAGGGCTCACATGTCAGAGCCCTGCACCACCGGGGGGGAGCCCAGCAGGAAAAAGCTAGCAAGGCAGATCATAGGGCTTGGCCAGGGTGGCAGGGACAGAGGAAGAGCCTGCCTGGCTCCAGAGCGCAGAGCTCCCTGCCATTCCCCATGACCTGCGCGTACCAGTGAGCGGGATTGGTCCATCAGCTCCTTCACATGGGGCTCTGCCCAGAGGCACAAGTCAGACAGAGAACCCGGGAACTACACACAAGCCCCAGGGAGCCTCGCGCAATGGAGCCAGGTGGACCCTGTGTCCCTGCCAGCCCAGCCTCCACACTCCTGCTGCCCCACCTTGGGTCCCTGTTGGCCCCAGCCGCGGCACACCAGTGTGGACCCCACACTCCCACCCAGCTGCCACTGCCACTCCCCCTCCACCACTGCCACCACTTCCCCGACCCACCGCTGCTGCTGCCCTTCCCCTGCTGCTTCCCTCCCACCTGCTGCCGCCCCCTCCATCTGCCCACCTCTGCTACCACTTCCCCCCCACCCCCTCGCCAGCCAGCCCGCTGCCACCTCTTCCCTACCTGTGGGACTGGGGTCAGGAGCCATCCTGCAGTCGAGGCTGGGAGCACAGCACACGCTGCCCCCATGGGAGAGATCAGGGCTTGGCCCCATGCAAGCACAGCAGGGGCAGCCCGGGGCCGGGCTGAATACAGCGATTTGGTAGGCACCTGCTCTTGGGCCAGATGAAATCGCCTGGCAGGCCGGATCCAGCCCATGGGCCATATTTTACCTGCTCCTGCAGTAGTGTAACTAAGGGGGGGTAACCAGGGCAGTAGCCCTATGTGCTGCCTTAGGGAGCTTCAAAAAGAATAGCTGCTGCCTCTGCCGCTGGCTGTGCTGCTGCCACCAGCCAAGGCTGTCCTGAGCAAAGCTCTGCTGCTCTATTACCTCTGCACAGAGGCTGGAGAAGGGTCCAGGGAGCATATCCCTGTTCTCATCCCTGGTTGCTCTTTGTTTGAGCCCCAGCTGAAAGTCACAATGGCAACTTCCTGGTGAGGTCCCCTCCCTCCTGTAGCTGTAAGCTGACACCCTGATCAAGGCAGGCTGTTCTGGGTCTATCTGCATAGCACAGGTGCAGACAGAAGTGACAATTTTCACTTGACCTGGCCACAGAAACCAGTGTATAGCTGTTACCAAATGCAAGTGCACGGCTGCAGACAGTTTGGCCGATCAGATGAAAATCTGACCCCTCAGGTATCAGAGAAAGAGGTCTTAAAATGTAGCTACTTTTGTAACTTGTGTCTGCCCAGCTCCCAGCTTGTCCTGTTTTCAGAATGGGAGGAGGGAAAGGGAATGGGGGGGGAGTTTATTCTGGGGAATTTTCAGCCCCCTGGAGGGTGGGGCAGGTGTACTGGAGCCCCCCAAATTGGGGGTGGGGGCTCCAGTTCACCCACCCCACCCTTCAGCACCAGCTGGGGAGCCCCAAGAATGACTGCCCTCTGCTGCCTTTCCCCCCTCCCCTTCTGAAAACAGCGAGCCCTGGCAGAGAGCCTGGCCATTGCTATGGGAACCTGGCTCCCAGCACAGCTAGATTCACCTCCCAGCTGGAACCAACAGTGAACTTCTGTTTGGTCCAGGGTAACTTGGAACGTTTTGCAAAAATTGTTCTGAGTTACAGCTGGGCGCTGCACTTCTGTCTGCACCCACAAGTCACTGCAGCTCACTGGTGACTGCCTGGGAAGCTAGCCCTTAGAGAGCACTGTCAGGAGGCAGCAAAGCCCAGAGTGCTACACCGCACTGGACGCCGGCTGCTAGCACTGCAGACAGCAGCACTGGAGCTACGAATGCCAGGTAGCAGGCGAATCAATGTTGCTGTTTCAGGCCGTAGGCAGCTTACCATGGGTCAGGAAAGACAGATCCCTAATCATCCTCTTATATCGCACTGCACCAGCCAGGAACACAAGGAAGGGAAGAGGTAGCACTAGGCAATGGCTGTTCATGGGGATAGGCATCAGCCCAGCCTGGCAAGCTTTACCTTCCTATAGGGCAGCTCAGCTCCTAGCAGGCCACATTGTCCAGTCAGATTACACCAAGGGGGTCTTCAGGCTGCCTGATCAGGCCAGATCTCTGCTGGGCTCTGTGGCTTTTTTGTGCCAAGGTTCTGGGCTTTGTCCCACCATGGGACCTGGCAGCAGATAGCTTCACTGCTCTGCACTCCCAGGGGAACCCAGGCCCTCTCTCTTGTCTTGGCCCCATGTCCTACGTTGGTTCCCAGCACCACTTGGCCTCTTGCCCAGCTCATACCCCCTATGCCACACAGAGCCAGGGCTTAGGAGTTCCCCATTCATCTGCTCAGACACTGCAAAAGACAGAGATGTAGAGGGGCAGGAATTACTGCCCTGAGGGCAGGGGGTAAGGGAAGGAGGGCGTCAAGGCTGTTTGATCAGGCTAGCTCCCCTGTCACTGGGGATTTTTAAAGGGATAGATATCCACACTGCAACACCCCAGCACTTGATGCCCTGGCCCATGTAATGAATACGGAGGGACCCACCAGAGAGGCGAGGGGTGTCCCTACTCACTCCACCTGCCCCTAGTGACTAATGACTCTCTTACCCTGTAGAGACCTATCCAGTCCCAGGAGCTCCTATGGAAGATGCTGGCCACCTTGTATCTGACAACAGCTTGATCTGGCCTAGACCACTCATCAGCAACTTGAATCTCAACCAGGGGCTTGTCAGTCTTGGAGGGAAACTGTCAAAGAGAAGCACAGGATAAGTGGGGAGGGGCAATGGCACTGAGGCTGGTTCACCAGAGATGTCTGTCGGTGATGACTGCCACAGCCACTAGGCCAGCAGCTCCTCTGTCCAAGCATTCATTAGAGATGCACCAAAGGCAGCCCCAGGTGGCTCTGTTGTAAATCCCCCTCATAGCAAGGGACTGACCAAGTATGCGAGGAGGCTCTAGGCTCCTGCGTCTGCCTGTGGCCTTACTCATGACCCTCTCTTGAAGTCTCTGGTACCTTCAGTTACCTTGTGACTCTCCTTCCCCTTAGCCACAGTACAGGGGAGTCAGAAACTGCCTTCCTCCCAGGAATGAAACCCCCTCCAACAGGGGCAAGAGAGCCACCCCAGTCATGAGCAAGACAGGCGCTCTAGGCCCTGCCACACCTAGGGTTGGAAGCACGGGCACCCGAGCGCAGAGGAGCTCCAGAAGACACACCAGGCTCACCTGCACTGCAAAGATGGCAGCCACTGGCTTGTGGTCGCTCACCATGTACTCCATGTGGCTGCAATAACAGAGCTGGGTCACAGACAGGATGCTCCTGCTGGGTCGTCTGCCACTGGGATTGTGCGAGGCACCTGAGGACTTGATCTTCCAGAGAATCCGATCAGTCCAGGCTGGCTTTCGCTTCTTTGCACTGCATGGTACAGATGAGAGTCACTGGGCTGCCATAGAGCAAAGCCCCCCTGCCACTGTGTCCCAACAGAGACTAGGGTAGAGGAAAGTAGTGTCTCTCTCCTAGTACACCTAGCACATCTTAGTACAGCTGCAGGTAGAGGCATGGACTGCCAGCAGTGAGACAAGGACATGATCCTTCCCCATAACTCCCTCCAACCCAGCTTGCCATACCCTTCCCCTCTGCCCACCACATCCCTTCCCACATGTACCCTCAGTGCAAGCATTTCTGTTACCATTGTGCTCCTACCACACCAGTCAACCAAGCACCAGCACCCATTTTACAGAGTAGGGTCCCACAATTCCCAGCCCCTGGTCTGATCACTAGTGTCCATTCAGGGCAGAGGTGCATCACACCCTGGCTTCCACTCTCTTACCTTGTGTCATACTTGTTGGTCCCCACATCGAATTTAAAGGTGGGTGGGAAGTTCAGGGGACCCTCCTGGAAACCACTGAGGATAGGCCACGTATTCTTGGCAATGTTCAGCTGCAGGAGGCAAGGGGTAAAGTAAATGGACAAAAATTGGTGATTCACATAACCCCACTTTCAGACCCACAGCTCCTGCACGGCCAGAACCCCATTGTTACGTTCTCTCAGGAACCTCAGAATTGAACAGCACGGGCAGCTGGAGAGCAGCTGGGGAGAACCAAGTGAAGTGCTCTGCATATGGCCCCCTCCTGAGTTAACCCAGGACCACCCTCTTTACCCAGAGAATTTTTTGGGACCCAATAATCTTTCCAATCTTCTGGTGTGGGGGAAAATAGAATGGGCCCCATGTTCTAACTTACACATTGGTATATGACTACAGGGTGGATATACCTGGAAGAAAACAGGTACAGGGGACAGGGATGTCTCCCCTGACCCTGGGACTGCCTGTAGGCAGGAGGTGCTACAGGGAGGGACATAGGCTGTGAGAGCATTAATAAACCCCCCTCCTTTGCTCAGGTGAGCATTAACTCTGAGGCTCATTGACTAGGCACTCTGATCTCTGGGAAGCAAGACACTCATATACATGAGCATGCCTCTACTCCTAGTAGATGGTCTGCCAGTCTAGGTCTCACCTGGTCCTTCTCCCACAGCTGGCTTAGGATGTTGTTGTCGATAGCATATTTCACAAAGCGGATGTCTAGGCTCTCAATGCGGAAGTTGAGGTCCCCAAACCAGAACACAATGCTGGAGAAAGGGAGGGCAACAGCAGGGGCAGGATGAAGAAGGGTAGCACTGGTACAGCAACCCCATTATACAGAGCAGGAGCCTGTGGCTCAAGGAACAGAAAGCAACTTTCTCTCAGTTTGCAGTGACTGATCAACAGAAAGAGAGTGTTGAGAGTCCTGCTCCAGATTTGGGATCCAGCTACTGAGTCATGTTGTCAGAGTGGGAGAGTGGGAGAGTGCCAGGTGTCCCAGGTCTTTGACTGAGACGTCAGACAGCACTGTCTTCTTGAAAATAAAGGACAAGGAACATGCCCTGGGTAACCCAGTGGGGTGGGAATGGTCCTGTCCCTCACGGACAACCGGTGCCTCCTGAATTTGAGGGGGTACCCGCAGAAGCTGCTGGCGGCAACGGCAGCAGGGATGGCGAGCATCTGTGTACACTGCCACTGCTGTTGGCAGTGGGGGCAGAGCTGGCGAGCTCCTGCAGATGCTGCTGGGGGGGGGGGATGCCAATGCTGCTGGTGGTGGTGGCAGTGGGGACAGTCCTGTCAAGGTGGGCACATCGAGCTCCCACAGACGCCGCTGGTGTTGTCGGTGGCGGGGACAGCCCCCCTGGAGCACGCCTACCAGTTGCCTATGCTGTCCCTGACACCAGTTCAAGTTCACCCTGTCTAAGAGGCACTGTGGAGTGAAGCCATTCCATCAACAAGACCAGACTGAGTGCTGCATGAAAATTCCTAGCACCTAGCATGATGGGATGTGACATCAGTACCATTGTAGCACACAAACAGTATCAGAGAGGGTGCCTTAGGAACCTACCCTGGGTAAAAAGGAGGGCTTTACTCTAGCACAGGGGTTGTCAACTGGGGGTACGTGTGGGTGGGCAGTGATGGAGCGCTGCCACCTACCACCCCATGCCACTGCCTCCCAGGAGCAGACCTAGGAGGAGGGCAGTGGTGCCCCTTTGTGGGCCACAAAGGCGCTCCCTGGCTGGCTGGATGCGGGGGGGGGCTTGAATGTGCCAGCTGCTGCCGCCATCCACCACCCCAGGCCGACACCCACTACGCCGCTTTCCCACAGCTGGTCGCACATGTGGCTCCACAGGCTGCTGACGAGTGGTGCGCAATTGGCCGGGTGTGAGGCCTGTCAGCAGCTTGCGGAGCCGCACATGCAACCAGCCGTGGGAAAGCGGCACACAGTGGCCGCATGGGGTGGTGGGTGGCAGTGGAGGCAGCCCCCACCTCCACATCCAGCTGTTGCCACCAGAAGGGGTACACTTCTTTAAAAAGGTTGAAAAGCCTTGCTTTAGCAGCCTGTCCCATGCCTACAATTGTTCTACTCAGGGGCCAGAGGATCTGTGACAGCAATGAGGACTGCAGAGTCTTGCTAAGCCTGTTCATCTCCCTGAAACCAGGCCCAGAGTTTAGAGGAAATATAAGACATGGGATGGTGATCCCTGGGAAGTACTAAGTAGGTTGCCTGTACTGCCGGCACCTCCCCCAACCCCGCAGATGCTGGCAAAGCCAGTGAAGAGCAGAGCTGTGGGGTCAGCTAGATGGATGCTTCTCAGGTTCTGGGAACCCTCAGGACTGGAGTAGTTAGGGGGAGCCTGGAGAGAGAAAGGGTCTTTGGAAGAGATGGGGAGAAGCAGCTTGGGTCCCTGGGCAGATGCAGGGGGAAGCAGGATGCAGTTCAGCAGATGTGAGAACTGTGGCCAGGCCAAGGCAGCAGCCTGAATGCTCTCAGCCCTCCAGAGCACATCCTTTGCTGCAGAGGGAATGTAGGTCATTGCTGTGCTGATAACTCCTCAGCTGGCTTCCAGCCCTGCCCATCAGCTGCTGAAGCATCTCATGTGCCAAGCCCCACAGCCCTGGATATAAATAGGGCCTGGTTTAAAACAACATTTTGCATTTTTCATGAGAATCATGAAATTAAGTGATTTTTACAAAAAATGCAATTTGCAATGACATGTCATGATGTCATACTTTCTCATGATGTTGTGCTTGGTGCTAGCAAGGTAGAGGACCCAGAACAGCTGATGCTGGCCTGACCATCTTACTTCGACAGGCACCTGTCAATAGAAATTTTCACCACATATTCCTGCTCTCCCACGTGACTGCTTAAGTCAGATTTTCCAAAAAGTCATATGGGAGAGCAGGAATATGTGGTGAAAGCATTCTCCAGCAAGCAGCAAAAGCCTAGGGGTAGGGAAGGGGGAGGGAAGGAGTCACAAAAGGGTCAGCAGGAGGAGAGAGCTTGGGGATGGGTAGGAGAGGGGCTATTTGCTCCACCAGGTGGGAAAACTGAGGTAACAGGAGTTGGGGGCGGGGGCAGGAACACATGCATGGAGGAGCAAACAGCCCCTTCTCTACCCAGTACCAGGGTGGTCTGCTAAGGCAGCCCTGAAACTGTTCCTGCCTCTTCCAGTGAGGCAGGGAAGAGTGTGGAGTGGGGGGTGCTGTGGGCTTTTCAGCAGTGATCAGAGAGGCCTTGGGAGCAAGCCTTCTGTTGTTGCAACTAAACCTGGCCCTAAACCTGCCTCCTAAACCAGTTGGAGACGTTGGGGGGCGCTATGATCTGGGTACAAAAATGTGGTCCCAGCCATGATCAGGCCAAGATATTAGCGAGCTGGGCCCGTGATTTAAACCAGGCCCTAGGTATAAATAGTCAAAACCTTCTGCTTAAGTCAGACTTTCCAGAAAGTCACATGGGAGAGCAGGAATACGTGGTGAAAATTTCCATTGCCAGGTGCCTGCCAAAGTAAGATGGCCAGGCCAACATCAGCTGCTCTGAGGCCTCTACCTTGCTAGCACCAAGCACAACAGCATGGTAAAGTAACCCACCACCTGGCAGACCCAGAGCAGATTCCCTGCTTCCCAGCTAGCATAGAGCAGACCACCAGCCTAGCCCCAGTACCGGCTGGTTTGTGCAGGGAATGGTTAGGCCTTGAATCTCTCTCTCCCAAGCCAGTGCCCAGATGGCAGTGGGGCCAATGGCCAAAGAGGTCAGGCTGCAGCAGTGGCAACAGGCAAAGCAGCTGGAGGGCAATCAGGGCAATATCAGACCTCACTCTCAACTCTGCTGCCAATCACTATGTCCACCAAGGCCCAAGGGCCCAGAATTCTGTTGCAAGCTGCTCCCTCGAGCCACATCCTTCAACTTCTGTTGGCCCATCACTAGCCTGACAGGGTAGATCAGGGTATGGTATATGGCCTGTGGGCCATATATTTGATTTCCCTGTTCTAAATGATCACAGGCTATGGAGAGTCAGTGCAGTGCCCCATACACAGCTGGATGGAATGCACCCTCAAGCATGAAGGTTGCACAGCTGGGTTTGGTTTCAAAGGCCTGGGGAAAGTCAAGGCTACACAAACCTGGGGTGGGTAGGTCTGGATACCTGCTCTGCAGTGCGTAGCACACCCTGAGAAAGACGCTGGCTTCTGATCCTCTCAAAGTCAGGACTCCACAGCCCAAATGCTGGGCTGATAGTGTGGGACACAGCATCACCAAAGAGCTTTAAACTTGGACCCCAGTGCCAAACTAGTGTTTGGGATGGTAAGGGGGAAAGGATCAGGGCTGGGGGAGAATGGGAGACTGTACGTACTCATGGTCCAAGATGCCACTAGCCACACGCCCTTCAAACTGCTGCATGTTGAGGATAGTGGTGAAGTCCTCCTTGCGCTGCTCAGCTTTCTCCAGGTGAGCTGGCAGGTGGCAGTTCAGAAAGCAGACCATGTGGCCAAAGATGGAGAGTCGCACGCTGACCCCACCCTTATTGCCCTGCACCAACAGGAATGCAAGCCATGTCATTGAGAAAACCCTCACTCACTTATTGCAGCTATTTCCCTTAGGGGCCCCACTCACCCAATAGCCACCTAGGCCTGTCCTGGTGCAGTCTGTCTGAATGTCCTGCAAGAAGGGAAGGTGATAGTACTTGGAAAACACCAGCAAGATCACTCCCTGCATCCGGACTGTGCTCACCTGCAAGAGGTAGAGGAGAAGCATGAAGCAGGGCATAAGCCCCTTGCAATCCATGAGGAAGAAAGTTAATGTAGGGCAGGTTTTTCAGAAGATGAAATGAGTGAAGGGGCCACACATCCTGTGACAGGGCAGGTTCCCCCCACCTTGCTATGATTTACTGCAGGGAAATCAAGCCAAGGTGAAGTTACATCCCTAGTGCTTTTATCAAGAATTTGTGGGGAGTAGGATGGTGGGGAGGGGAGGCATTGTTAATGAGGATTCATTAACAGGAATTCAGAGCTAAGGTTGTCCTGCAAGATGCTGTACCCTTCCACAATGTTGAGTTCAGTATGGTTCATACCTCAGAAAGTGAGAAAATTCAGTACAACCAACTTTAACACTGTCCCCTGGAGCTGGCAACAGGCACCCCAGGGAATCATTTGCCAAGAACATGATAACAAGGCATTGGTATTATGTGGCACTATTTTAAATAGTGGGGGATTAGTTGGAACAGCCTGGCAGAGCCACGATTGTGATGATGTGATCAGGGTCTAATCTTCCCCCTGACCATAAGTAAGGGAAGAAAGAAAAGAGGTATATCTGTGGACACAGAGATCCAGTGGGCCTCATGTCAGTCCTGTGCCATGTCAGCTGTGTCCATGGTGGGGCTCTGGAGTTTGCTGTGAGATTGTCAGCAAGCAGGTGGAAAACAAGAATTTTTTGTGTTTTTGCACTCTGGGCAAACCCTGCAGGAGAGTGGGGGACCAGCTTCAGATTGGATACATCACTTCAGATTGGATATAAGGAAAAACTTATTTATGGTTCAAGTGTCCAAAATCTGGAATGGATTCCCCACAGCAGTGATACAGTCACCTAACCTGGAGATCTTCAAAAGATGAATGGATGCACACCTTGCTGGGTTCATCTGACCCCAGCAGTCTTTCCTGCTTGCAATCAGGGGGCTGGACCTGATAAACTCATGAGGCCTCTTCCAACCCCTAACTTCTATGAATCTATGAAACCATGGGGGTAGGCAGGGAGGTGCTGCTGAACACCAGAGGGGTGGAGGTTCTGAGACCCAATGGGGAGCACAGGAGTCTTACCTACAGCAGGCACTCAAACAGTCCCTGGCTCCTTTCTGCCACAGCAGCAACAAGGTCTATTTCCAGCTGCTGTTGCAAGAGCAATACCATGGGGCTGCTTTGCCTACGGGTTATAGGCTTCACAAGAATGGGGATGATTCTGTAGCCTCTACTAATATGACCCTAGGGCTAGTGCCCTGCTTACCGATCCCAGGTTAAGCATTTACCTTCACTCTGAATTTCCTGGTTTTCTGAGGCTTGACTCTTCCTGACCTTGACATTCTGAAAGAGCACGAGACTCCACAGGGTGACCTTAGCTCAACATTAATATAGATTTTTGTCAGTGAATTTTTAGTTTTCAGAACACAAGAACGGTGTTTTGAGGCAGTTAATTGTCATTCAGGCATTTATACCTACCAGGTTTGCAGCTGAGACCTACAGAACTACAATCATTACCCTAGTGCTTAGTTAGCCCGCCTTAGCTGCACAGAATTGGTACATCCTAACTCCCATTTTACAGTTGGGAACATTAGACACTTAGAGGGGAAGCACCCTGTCCAGAATCACCCAGAAAGTTGTTGGCAAAGCCCTCCCAGCCTTGTGCTCTAACTCTTAAGCAATACAGCCTCTTGCTGGTCCATGGTCATTAGTCTGGTGGTGACACCAGACTGTCTCCTTTTTAATAGCTCCCTGTGTTCTTCCAGGGAGTTCTCAGTAGTTCTTCATCCTTGATGAGTTTTCACTGGGTTAAGGGACATATCCTGCACTTCTGGGTAGGATGTCCAGGTGGATTTCATCAGATTTCTGCCCAAACTAAGCAGGCTCCTGAGCCCAGGATTCTTTTCACACACAACCTTACCAATACAAAGTTAAAGGGACTCAGCACATCCATGAAGAGCTCACTCCATTGGTCCATAAAGAGAGCATCCTTCAGGCGCTTATTTATCATGGAGTTCACCTCCTGCAGCCTGGAATGGAGACAGACAGGAAGCTGATCACAGGGCTGCCAAGATGGTACTTGGTCACCCTCTGAACAGGAGCTGAAGTCCAATCCTAAAAAAACCCAGGATTTTGGCAACATGTAGACTCTATCCCTCCAGGACAGTCCTTGCTGCTGAGAGTGGACAGATGAGTATATCTGTATTCTGTCCAGCCTCAAGATTCCAAGCATGTGGCTTAGGCAGAGAGGGTATTCCCAGCAGAAGTGGTCTACCCGTTTCCTTCTGCACTGCAAGCTAGACACAGAGATGAACGGTAAACTGAGGGTGAGTTTTCACTCTGTGGGGGTTGTCTGAGGAGACTAAAGACACCTCCCTTGAAGTAAATGGAAGTCAATTTCCTTGATTCATAGACCTCTGGGACTCAGGAGGTCTTAGGTGTTATGGGTGCCAAGCTTAAAACTGGGGCCAGAATTCACGAGGAGCTCAGGTTTCTCATACATCAAATGTGCCAAGCACTTGGCAAAGTCTAAGCCCATCTCAGCAACAGGGAGATCTGAATAACTTTTTAAAGGCATATTATAAATCACAAAGTTATCATGGTCACATTAAATATTAAGGCACTATTTAAAGATACCTTCTAAAAGACTCAGAAGCAATTAATAGACATCACAAACATTTGGCAGACATGAGAAGTGTGCTATAGATGCTTATAAACCCACTATCAGAAGATGGAATAGATGGATATAAGCAACCTATTGACTTATTTGACTCCAACAATCAAATATGCATTTATTAAAGCAAGAATCATTAATAAGCCCAGAAAAAAGCCCATAGAATGTAAGTAACAACCTCAGGCAGGATCTCTGCACAGAGACAAACTGCAGAGTTTCTTCTTTGAGTGTCCCAGCACCTCCATCACACTTATGTCAAGGTTTGCATCAATGGCACTTCAGGATTATTAATTATATGCCCCAGCTCAGCCTTGGCAATTATTACCAAAATGAAATGAGTGGGAAATGTTTCCAGAGAACAACCGAGGACTGTTAACAATGTCATGTGACATAATGAGACAAAATAAAACAAGTAAGTATGTAGAAAGTGAAGATCCCTGGGGGAACTCTGGTTTAACCCAGATAAAAGGGAGGGAAGAGAAGTCATGACTCCCTGGAGACTGATAGGAATGAGGAACCATGCCAAACAGATACAGGGGACCAAACCACCAGCCTAATATATGACTGAGCAAGGGCATATCTGCCTTCCCAGGCCACTAGCAGAAACAAACCAAGCCCAAACATAGTCTCATTCAGGCTAGCTCTTTTACTCTACACATGCAAAGTACCTAGCACAGGAGGACCACCATCCCAGCCACAGTCAGCTGGCCCTACTAAAATACATAAAATAACACCCAAGTGGCCTGTCTTAAATTAGACCAGCATTGCCGACAGAATTTCACTGTACTGAAATGAGTGCTGCTTTATTGATAGAATTGCACTATTACTGGTGTCAGCAATAAAAGGACAACAAAATCTTGCCCTTGAGGCCTGCTTAGTATGTACAAAGGCAGACTGATGAGGATGAAGTTCCTATGGGACTTTGGAGGGGAGGTTTAGCTATCCAAAAGTCTGACCCTGAGAGGTGCAGGCTGCCGTTGGTTTCTATTGTAGTTGCTGGCTTGTGTGGAAGCTGGGCAAGTATGAAGAGGAGTGTCAGAGGGCAGATGATGTGGCTAGACAGTATTTTGCCCACCCCTGGGCTAGAGTGTTCTTACTACTTTTAATGTTATATTTGTGTGTGTGTCTGATTTTTAATCCCCTTCACTGCTATTCTATAACATGTAATAAAATATACATAAAAATACACACACTTAGGGAAGCAGTACTAGAACACCAATCTGTCTGCTCAAAGGCTAGGCCTCAGTCATTTCAGGCACAAAACTCCTTTAGGACATTCAGTAGTTCCAGGGGGTATGCACTGGTGCACTCATACCCCCTTTAATTCCTGGTCCACCCAAAGTTTTAAATCAACTGTCGGACAATGGCAGCAGCATTTTTAGTCAGGCTGTGCCGACTCTCTTGACTCTGGGGCATCGTTATAATCTGCCTGATCCCTTCTAAACTCTTAATTCCACAGGTATTAATGAACCTCTCTTCCTTTTAATGGTCTTTATGTTCCATCACTCAAGCTACCCTTTCTTCTGCAGTTCTGCTATCTGTTAGCTGCTCCTGATAATGAAGGTCCTATTTCACAGCCCTACAGATTGTTTTTAACTCATTCCAATAAAGTTATATTTGTTTTTGCTTCAATCTTAAACTGAATAGTATACCCATAGACCTCTAAGCCCTAGGCCCCTAGTATACCCCTAGGCCCCTAGCATATTAATACACTTCTAGTTTCTTTGAAACTGGAGAAAAATATGTATTGTTTTACTTGTAATGATGCACCTCACCACCTGCACCCCACTTCTAAAAATTCTAGATCTGCCCATGAGGCAACCCAAGCAGTAGGTCTGTTAACCTCTCTGTGGACCTAGCCACTACAGGACAGCTTCCCTCAGTAGCCCCTGATACACTGATATGACCTAAAAAGGGGGAGGATCCATTGGCTCAAAGGCCCCTGGCACCTCTGTTCCTTACCCAATGGCGATCATATCAGTGTCAGTCGTGTCACCCATGTTGAGGTGCAGCAGGGATGTCACATCACTCGGGGGCATGGCTGTGCCAACGTTCCAGGTGACCACAGTGATACTTAGAAAGACAAAGGAAGAGCATGCTTGTGTTCTGATACAGGGTGCTCACTCAGCCCCTCTCCAGCTCTCCCTGCTTCAACCCCGCTCACCAGTTGCCCCCCTCCCCTTCAGTTTCTTTAGCTCTTCATCCAGAAGTTGTCACTTTGGAAGAAGAAATGACTAGTCACATCCAAGGCTGAGGAATAAGGTAAGTGTCTAGAGAGGCTCAAGCCAAGAAAAGCCTGTTAGGCACTCTGTCCACAGACATTACCAGGGGGAGCTGAGCCCTTCCAGGTGCATGGAACATGGGCTAACAGCACAACATTAAGCACCCACAAAACAACTGAGGAAGACTGTCCTCTGAAGCATAATTAGTACTTCTGAACTTGCTAGCCCATGTGCACAGGGCATGTATAAGCAGGCAGAAGACAAAGTGCTCAGCTTTGGTCAACCCTGTCCTGTAGTCCTGCACCTAGACTGGGTTATCACTCGTATCCCTTGTTATGCAGCCCCTTGACTACTCCTTATGCTACTCAGGGCAGAACATGTCATTGTTTTTATAGCAAATGCAAATTATTTTCAAATACACACATGAATATGTTAAGCCATTTGCACAACACATAAGAGCACCAAAGGGCAGGGGGTTCAAGCCCCAGAGCCTATGCTGTACTAATGGGTCATACTGGAGGCTGCAAGGGAAGCCAGCCAGGGAGCAGATGCTGTCACAGAAGCAGGACATCTCACAGGGAAGCACATGATGTGGAAGCTGGTTGGACTTTAGGTACAATCTCTGTATATAGTACTTCCAGAGGCAAGTCAAGGCTTCTCAAGTCAAGACAGCCTCCTTGGGTTAGGGCATCTTCAGGGGAATTGATTCCCCAAAACTTGTTTCCCCAATCCTTGTTCAACTTGGTTGTCCTCGAGGCAGAGCTCAACTTCTTTCTTAGGTCTCTGGGGAGGAAAGGGTCAATTGAAGTCTGGGGAAAATGGTCCTTGTTCAGACAGAATTTCAGCATAGTTAGCTGTTCCTTCCAAAACAGCTACCGACTGAGAACAGATTGAGTTTTCAGTGCCTGGCAGAGCCCAGGGCAGGAATTCGCTCTCCTTGATGCAGAGCCGCTATTAACACAATGCCTTAACCTAATAGTGCAGCATGTACTAAACACCAACCAGCTTGCTGTACTGATGGCATGGGCAGACAGTACCCTTGCAGGTGTGGAAAGCATGGTATGGTTCCAGGGTGGGTAGACAGGGCAGTTCCAGAGATCTGGGAGCTGGGACGTTACATGAAAGGAGGGAGTGTCAGTCCCCATAGCCCTTTAGGCCCATCTCCCCTTGGGCAACATATCTCAGGCCACTCCCAACTCTTGAGGACAGGAAGCAGGTGACAATCCCATATGGACTCTACTCCCTCTTGTCCCTGCCTTTATGGAAAGGACTCTGCTAGCCCATGTAGGCTAGGATGGCCTCTGTTGGCCTCCTTAGCTTAGAGTGGAAGACCCAGAGGCTACGTTTAGAGAGGACAAAAGCAGTGATTTCTCTACTTCTCAACACCAAGAGAAGCATGCCCACAACCAGGCCCCCACTCAGTATTTGGAGCGTTGCACCTCCTTCTTCCTAGCCCACAGCAGTAGAGCTTAGAGCACTACACATCTCTGGAACAGGCTCTGATTTCTTATGTAATACCCCCAAAAGTCTGCCCAGCACCCCAGTGAAAGGCTGAACCTCCCTCCTCACGGCAGGGGTGACAGGCTGACGAGCCTGCCCCAGCTTCACAGACCCACGCTCACCGGAATGTTGCGTCTTCAGCGGCCCGGCCCTGCAGAGCCTCAGAGGTGTCCACGCAGCTGGGCAGGCCAGGGGATGAGCCAGCCCTCCCGTAAGAGGTGAACTCCTCTGACTCAGCTTTCAACAGCATCCCAGGCTTGGAGGGGCCTATCCTTCCTCCTGAGATGAGCTCACTGGAAATGGCTTTGGGGAGGCTCACAGGTCTGTGGGATGAGCCAGTTCTGCCTGCTGAGAGATAGTCGCTGGACTCAGCTTTGGGAAGCGCTTCCTTCCGCTCCATGAGGAGCAGTTTTCCTGAGGTGGCTGGATCAAAGGTGCAGAGTTCTGGTAGTGGGGACCGGCTGGGTGACTGGCTGAGCTTGACGGAGGGTGAAATACCAGCATGGGATGCAGAGCTGCCAGAGCCAGGAGACAGAGGCCTGCACTCTCCTGGGGACAGTAAGTTAGGCAGTGTGAACATTTGGACCCCGCCTGCCCCATCAGGTTGGGCTCTGTTGACCTCCAAAGACAATGGCTGACTAGGCCTGCTTAGGGACCTGTCCTCTGGCCCACTGTACTGTGATCCATCAGGCTGTGAGCGAGAGGGTCCAGAGTGAAAAGGGTCAAAGAGCACATCTGGCCAGGAACCCCTCTGCATTGGAGGTATGCTCCCCCCAGGGAAAGCTGCTGAGAGGGCCCCACTGGACCCCTCAGGTTGGAATCTAACAGACCCCTCTGTGCTGAGCTGGGCTACAATGGGACCAAGTAGTCCAGGGGAGGTTGCTGTAATGGAGCCCCTTGGTGATATGGACTGGGGCCCAATGGACGAGGATGATCCCTGATCCATGTTGTCATGGTGACTCAGCTCCATCTTAGAGAGAAAAAACAGAGAGTACATTAGACTCTGCTGTACAAGGTGTCCCCTTCACCCTGAATATAGACTCTCCTTTCTGCCCTTGTACTTGCTACTCATTCATCCTGTGAAAAATAGCATACATCAACCCAACATGAGAACCAGCCTGACTCAGGGCTGCTCTCATCTTACAGCTAATGGGGAAGCCTAGAAGATCCAAAGAACTTGGGATAAGGATGGACGAGAATATGCTGTTATCTGTATTCTCTGTAGGTCACCCCATTTCTCTCAAGAGGAGAGCATCAGTCTTATTTTAGGGCAGGCCTCAGGCCCTGACACTGTGACCTTGGATGGCTGAAGCTTGGGCACAGGAGTCAGTGTGGTTTCCCTGGCCATTATGCACAGGGCTCTCTTCCATTTGCTTATTGCTTCCATTTGTGGTGGAAGCTGAGGATTTGCCAGAGCCCTTTGGGCAGACAAGACATTTCTAGACCAGGATCTTCCTTCTCTACCTTTCCCACTCTCACAGGGCACCGGAGCAGACCACTGGGGTGAGCTACTGTGTGTTCGTGAGCTCCAACACAAGAAAGCAGGATGGGAAGCTCCAAATGACCAAGATGGCAGTACAGATTACCCTATCAGGTTGTTTGCATTCCAGAGCCACTTTGCCTGAGAAAAGGAAATTTGAGGGGCCAAAAAGATCCAGGTCTCATGGCAGCCCATATCCAGCCCTGGGAGAAACAAGTCAATGAGCTCTTGACACAGATACTTCTATCCCCCCAGCCAGCCTTTTGGGTCACCACTCAACACTGCTGCCCCCACCACTTCAGCTTTCTTTCCTCCCTAGCAATCAGTGCAGTGAGGGTTTCCTGTTGTAAAGGCTGACTCAGAGGCAAAGGCAGGCTTATATAGCAGCAAGGAAAGCACTTTCTAGCTCCTTCAATCATGGTCTCAGGGCAGCACAGCAAGGTACCGAGTTGTGAGTAACCATGTCTGCACTGCATAGGCACTCACACAGCACCAGCTGGACACCTGCTGTCTTGTTCTCACAGGCACTGGGTTGTGTGTGCAGTAAGGAACAGTGTGAAAAGAATCTTTTCTTCAGCCATTCCAGTCCTGGTGAGCCAGCTTAGAGCAGAGAAGCAGAGGCAACCTCAAATGGGTCACAATGGGGTATCATGAGATTTTAGGAGCTTGGGAGGGAGTACAAAGGCCTGAAAAGTGACAGACCTTGTAAAAGCATAGGGCAGAAGATTCACCAGTGCTCAGATAAACACTAAGGAGACCACAGCCATACACAGGAGGCAATGCTGAACACTGAAAACCAAGAACAAAGGTCCAGATTTTGTTGCTCCAACTGCTATGTAGGAGGCAATGGCACCAAAAGACATGTGGTGGGGAGCTGACTTTAGAAGAACCCCTCACTGCCACAGCTCCCAGCTGCCATTGCTGCATTCATGGTGAGCTAAGAAATGCCAGACTGTTCCAGATGGAGTGGTGAAGGCTGCAAAAGCTCATCTGATGGCAGAAGGAATGGCCCTCTGAATAGAAGAAGATAAGCAGTGTGCCTGTTCTGTGGGAGAAAAAGGTCATTAACATTACCAGAGTCATTTACACTATGAAGAGTGATATACATGAAAGGACCTGGCCTTCCACACGCACTCCCACTTGCCCCCACTGGTTGCTGGTGTGTGAAGGTCCCACAATACATGGGGGTAATGCACACACAAAATAGCAGGCCTGACCCCTTCCTTCTGACTGATGGAGCGGAGCACTGAGGGGTTCAGCAAGGGACAGTTCTCAGGCCATGCTTCTTCCCAATCCTCAGGCTGTCTCTGCTGTTTTCCCTGCCCAGCTTGACCTGGGTCTTCTGTGTACAGAACAGAATATGAAGGATCAGGGGCATCACCCAATGCCACAGCCCAAGGCCCATGGTAGAATGAACCCCACTCCACCAGAGCCTTGGCTTCCTCTCCCCTTGACCATGGTACTTGCAAGCCCCACAGCCACTTTTGTCCCAGCACTCTGGCCTGGCTCACACCATTTGTCCTTTTCAATGAGGGGCTGTGTTTCCATCTCTGCTCAACAACCATGGAACCCTACAGCAGGAAGCAGGGTTCTCTCCCCACCCCAAGGAACTGGTCCTCTTTCATAAGCTCTAGTGGGACAGAAGGCCTATTAGGCAAGAGCAAAGGATGAGGTATAGCAGCCAAGATCCCCCAGCCATCATTAATCCAATTAAGGGGAGATTGACAGGGGGGCAGGCGGACATTGGCTGCTGTCCCTCATCATCTTCCCCTTAGTGGAGTAATTGTATCCTCTCTACAAAAAGGAAAGCCCAGGGCTCCTGGGTTCTATTCTTAGTTCATTCTGTGCTTTCAGGCAAATCACTTAGCACAGGTGCCCCACTGGATGCAAGTGTCAGGGAGACAGCCCTTCATCTTCAGATGGCACAAGTGCAATATTGGGACATGGGGCTAAGGTCCAGCAATGGTTAGCAATTCCAGGCACTGAAACCAGACAGCCCAAAGGTCCAGGTGCTAACTTAGCACTGGGCAAGATCAGATTCCTAGAAGTGCTCTCAGGCTGGATCCCAAAAGCTACTTATCCTTGGGTTACAGCTTGGTCTTAGTGTTCTGCATTAGGTTGCAGTGGCATCTCAGTTGCCTCTGTGCTCAACTCAGCTCTCTGCAACATGGGGATGTTGATGCATCTCACCTGGGGCTGGACCCAAGGCTGAAGATATGTAACAAGATATGACAGATATCTCAAGCTGCAGATTTTATGGATGCTCTTTAGAGGCAGGTACCAATACTCCCCTCCTCCCTTGGAGCCCTACTCCCCTCCATACCCTTCATTTCCCCTCTCATCCCTGGAAGAGCACAAATCCAACTTGCTGACACTCATAGCATTCCCTTAATGTCTCCTTCATTTCTTGGTAACCCTCCTTTGGGATTTCTTTGCTTCCTCTAAGGGTAGGCACTATACTTTCAGCTCCAGGAATGATCTCTACCCCACAAATTTGTGGGCTCCTGGATAACACTGTCAGTTCAGCCAACATTCACGCAGTGTGAAGTGGGCAGGGAGGGGGGCAGAGAGGGTGAAGGGACAATCAGGGTCATCCTACTGAGGAGCAGACTGGAGTGCAGCAGGGAGACAGGCAAAAAGGCATATGCACCTGAAACTAGATAAGCTGCAAGTGCCACACAGGTTTGCTATAGGTCAAAGAAAGTCCATTGTGAGGCAAGAAGACGACCACTTGGGGAGAGGTACAAAGGGGTGGGGGGGGATGGAGCAGGGAGGACCCTGAAGGGCAGGGCTAGGCAGATCTTGCCTAACTTCACATCAGTGAACTTCCTGCCCCAGTGAGAGCTTGCCCGGCAGAGGGAGTGACAGGAAGCTCCAGATTCAGGCCAGAGTTGCATTCAGCCCCTATGAGCAGCAAGAGTCAGAACTGCTTTCCTTGCTCCCCAAAGCACAGCTCCCCATGCACACCTCACACTCGGTCTCTCCACGGCTCCAGATCATCCTTTGCTACCTTGTCGTGAAATGGCCCAGGCCCAGCACCAAACTCCCCCAGGCCTGAGGCAGAGCAGGAGAAACCAGCCATTAGCCTGCTCACCTGTCAAATCTCTGGCAGCCGTGGGCGAGCAGTCAGGTGGCACTGCCAAGAGGCAGCCGCCCCC